AAATTTTAGGGCTTTGGTAGATTTTAATTGACTAAAAAATTTTTAGTCGTTTTTAAAAAATGGAGGTTTTTGACACTAATATTGTCAATACACGAATTGACTAAGTAAGAGTTTTAATCTGGTATACTGCCTATAATATTTTTTTAAAGTTTCTAATTGAATATTCATACTCTTTAACTTTATAAAAGAACTTAATAACTGTAACAACCTTGATAATATGTTAAATATTTTTTAACATAAGGAAAAATGTATTATAAAAATTTTTGTGATTCGAAAAATATGATAATACTACTATATATAATTTGGTATTATTTCTTTCTTTTTTTCTTTTTTTTTGGAAATATGACATTTTATGCATGATTAAATAGCAAATCATTAAGCGAAAATCATTATTTATGCATGAATTCGAATAACTTTTTGAATCATTGTTTATAGAAATTACAAAATAATAAAGAGGATAAATGTCAAAATATAGTATTTATAATATAAATAATAGTTGTATTACAGAAGAAAATAATGCGCTTTTCAAATGAATAGGCGGAATTATCTCACTTATAGAAATATACCAGCCATTTACTTTTCCGAAAGACAAATCTGACGTCATGGGCACATTTTAAGTCTTACATTAGATATTACCTCACAGTAATAATTCAGGGACGAATAATAATTTAATTAATTAATATAATAATGACAGATTAAATTTTAAGTATCGAAATTTCCTTCAAGGAATTTATTTTGTTTTTTTCTTTCTATAAAACAAAAAATAAATTAAATTTATGCTTTAAAAAAAATATGATGATAGTGACCATTTTAAATTTTATATAAAAATCAGAAAAAAGGTATCTTAAATACAAATTACTTGAAAATTTTCAAAAAGATACAAAATACTTTCAGAATATTTTCAAAAAGATACAAAATACTTTCAGAATATTTTACCAAAAATAATTTAAACAAAATTACTTTAACCAGTATACGTTTGACTATTATTGCCATAATTTTTATAAGTATAGCTACCTGACTTGGGTAATGATTCAAATCTCCAAATCAGACTGGTAAGCAATTATTAGTTTTCTTTAAAAATTTATTAGGTTGAACCCTTGGGGATAAAGGGATATTTATGAAAATATTGTTCCACACAGTAAATATGATCCTAAGACAATCCTGGTTTAGAACTAAAATATTATTTGCACGAAATTTTTTTAAATCCAATTACTGCTTAGATTTGAAAAATAATATTTCAAGATGTTTTAAAATCATGGGTAGATAAAATCCCCCAAAAATTATTATAAGGATAGTGAGTCTATAACTCAATTTAATATCAATTTTTATTACGGGAAAAACATATTTTACAAATAAAAAAAACTAAAATATTTTAGACAAAATGATTTACAAGTAGAAAAAATAGCACAGTGCCGGAGAAAAAAACATAGACGCTAACATAATATTCATATAAGAAACCTGCAAGTCCGGCCTAAGCCCAACTCGGGTAGCCGGTTTAAATACCAGGGCCGGGCCTAAAATAAATTTTTTTTAAAAACTAACAATTGCTTATTTTAAAACCAAATATTTAAAATCGCCATTATTAGCTATAGAAATTAAAAATAAATGTAATATATTTTTAAAAATCCGGGCCGGGCCGTGCAAATAGTACCTTTGCAGGTCTCTGATTCATATGAAACTATTACATTATATATCCGCATTTATTCTGACGAGACAATTATTTTAAATCTTTGGCGATTTTGATAAAATTGCGTTGGTCCCACCCAATGGTAATTAAAACAATTAACTGTATAAGGACATATAAGAAATATGAATGAAAAATAGGATTTAAATCTAAATTGTAAGGGAAGAAAAGAATATATTTTAAAGGTCAATATAATTTGGTTTCACTTTAATCAAATATATTTAAGAATAAATTTCAACCAACCCAAAATCTTTCTAGAAGAACTGAACTGAAATTTAGATAAGGCAGAAATTTTATATACGGAAATATTTCATTTAGTATTTTTATATTATGACGAAATTTCCATGTTTTAATAAATGAAGTTATATAGAATTTTTATCTTTTAAGTTTAAATATTATATTATAGACTCTTTTTTTATTATTAAATTTAGATAAAATATTTATTAATTTTAGAATAAATATAATGCAATAATTTAAATGTATTATAAATTCAGAAGACACTCTTATTGAATGAAAAAAAATATATAATTTAATTATTTGCTTGTTCATTTTATTTGTTTAAGTGCTCTTAAAAGATTTTTAGTTCAATATACATAATACCATCATAACTTTCAAATGCATTTTAATTCAATATAAAAATAATAGTAATTTTAAAATAGTAATTATCTATTTTATTAAATATTACTGTTATTACATGAGTCCCAAAATCTTATAAGAAGTTTCTCATTATACAAGAAGAATGATATAAACTTTAATTTTATTCGTTTTTCTGAAGCGTTAAATAAAATGAATGTAATTATGATAGACGCATGTTAGAAGAATACTAGATAGAGTTTAAAGTGCATCGATTAATAGACACAAACTCACCGATAAATATTTTATAAATTTCTTCTTCGAAATATAATTTTTCCTTTCACATTGATTTAATTTATATATAACTATTTTATGAGCTCTGCTTTGTAAAAATTCTTTTTTTTTGCATTCTGATCTAAACAATTAATGCAAATTAAATCAAGAATAAATGATTAGATAAAATATCACCTTTAAAATCCATGTACACTCTAATTGTTTTACTTTTAATTCGTATGTCTAACATAGAATTCATATTCGTAACTGGTTCGTATGATAGTTAAATCGATACAAAAATATGATCGTAATTCAACTATTAATTTTTTTTAACAGAACTCACTTGAATTTCTCATATCATAAAATCTCAAGAATAACTCTATCCATTTTTTCGGAATATTAATTCCATTTCACACGAAGAAAAGAACCATTTTTCTGAATATTATATTATAGATGTTAATTGGGAATCGTAAGATATTTATATTTATAATATTCATAAATTAAATTACTATATCTTTCAACATTTCACTTGAATAATTTTTTTTCTCCCTCTCATATTTCGAAAAATATCCTCTTTTTCTCAACACATACAACTTTATACTAGTGTTTAAAAATTGGATAAATCATAATTAAATATAAACACAAAATACTTTTATCGCAGAAAAACAGGCTATAAATTAAATATTATAATATTCTTTCCAAAAAAAAATGTAAATCATTTTTACAAGCTAGATTTTAAATTTTGTAAAAAAGTATTTTGGCAATCTATTAAATAAATATTATGGTATTATTTCGCTATTCTTATATAAATGACAATAAAAGGAGTGAATGTAAAAAAACTTATTCAAAGAAATTTTTCCATTAATTTAACTTAAAATAGAGAAATTAAAAGGTGGGGAGTATAATAGTATAACTTGCTACTTTCAAAATTCTAAACACTCCATATTTAATTATGTTATCTTGGGGAACTTGGTAGGTAAAAGAGTTTAAATTTGTAAATTCATAATAAAATAATCAATATTTAGAATCTTTTTAATGTATATTTCTTTCCCTAATTGTACATTTAAAATTATGAAATTAGGAAATTGTAAGATGAACAAAAAGTTTAGAAGAAAGAGGAGTTTTTAATAAGATGAACAAACAGTTTAGAATAGTTTTTCTTTTTAATAAAACTTTTTAAAAAATATTTATATCTTTCAAATCATCAGCTTTCTAGTTTTTTTTTTGCTCAATTTATAACCTTTATTATATATATTATTAAGGGTTTTATATATATTTTTAAATGGCATTTCAGAAGCTTATATCTAATTATCATATTAAAATATTGATTATTTATCATAACTAAAAAAAGTAATGAATATACAATAATTTAGTTATTAGATATAGAGGGCGTGAAATAACATCAATTTCAATATTTTAGACATCGGAATTGTCATCATTATTCTATTTATCGACTTAACTTGAACTTATGTTTCGAATAAGTCCGGTTAATATATTCGTTTATATTTATATATTGGCTCATTGTTAATATGTTTTAAGCTTTATTATTATAATTATTTCAAATCAAATTTTTCTTTTAAGAGTAATAGAATTTTTAAGCTGTCATCTTGTATTTTGCTAAATCATAATTGCAAAATAAATCTTTGATACCTTCCCAGAAAAATTCTAAATTTTTTGGTTCAGCTCGGGGCAAAATTACAAAAAAAACTCAAAATTTAAATTTTTTGGCTTATAAAGAGGAAATTAATGCCATAACTCATCTTCCAAGATAATAAGAAAAGCTTTTTTTTGTGAGTTTATGTCTGATGACTCGGTTGATGAACTATAATAATCCTTCTAGAGAAATCTCTAAAGATATCCTAAAAATTTCCAATCATAAAAACCATATTTATATAATAAACCTAGCAAAAACAGCTTAGCCATCCCGTGAAACAAATTTATTCCATATAAATTTTAAACAGGATTTTTAAGGTTTCCTCCTAGGTTTAATTTAGCAAGCCGATTTTCTAACATTTTAACAATATCTGTACGAATATTTTCGCGATCGCTTGAAAGAAAGAAGAATAAATGCCATATAACGAGTTAAAAAGTAAATTTTATCGGCCTAGTGCTAAAAGAAACTTTATTTGAACTGATACTATGTAAAGAGGGCTGAGCGTTTTTCTAGTTTTATTAGATATTATTGTATTGACTAATTTTAAAACTTTTAATCTAATATTATTGAAGAAGTGATTTATTGACAAATTAAAATTACATAATATTGTGTATCGATTCACCATTATATACATGTATTTTGTTTTATTTTTTTTAAATGTATATTTTTTTTAAAATAATCTATTATAAAAAAATATTCTTCTTTATTATATTTGTTGTGGGATATATATATAGTAATTGTATTATAAAAAAAATCGGTTATATTTAAAAAAATATATAATTTTAATTTCATCAAAATAAAAATTATTAAATAAATATTGACCCATGTTTTCGTATATTAAAATATAAATCACTACATAGTCGAAAAATAGAGATAATGAAGAAATTTCTTAAATTAACATTCTGGCGGATAACATACTGTTTTGCTGCAATTATCATTTTTAACGAAATTTTGGAATAATTAAGGTAAGGTATTAACTATTACGCAATACTATAATTATTATATTCCCTTAAATATAAATAATATATTTTTTTTACTTAAAATTTTCTTTTGCTTGAACTCAGGTCAGGACAAATGTAATTTGTAAAATTTATTTTAAAAACATTGTGGTGGGGAACAAATTCGTTCAATGAAACGGAATTTTTTTTATTATCAAATTATCTTATAAGTAAATAAACTAGCTTTGAAATTAAACATTTTGCTATTTTTAAAAAGATTAAAATTTTCCTTGGATTTGAAAAATAATAAAAAAAATTAATATATATACAGTTTTACAAAGATTTGAAATCATACATAGACCAATGATATATAAGACAGAAATCAAACAGGTTATAATCATCTTATGATTAAAACATGGTTTATGTTATTTATAATGATGTTAGATTAATTAGTTACCGCGATTCTAAATATATTTTTTGGAATGGGATGACAAAAATAAGTAGTTCCTCTTCAAGTTGACTTTTAAAATATGTTAAATAATATATATTTCATTCATTCATTATCTTTATTTAATGATTTCTAGAATATAAAATGCTTATTAAATATATTTTTTTCAGTCTAGGGAAGCTAGCAGGCCTTTAGACATAAATTTTTTAAATGGTATATTTTTAAAATCAAATAAAGATTTATTAAGTCAACTTTCATGAAAATTTAATAAAAATAAATGACAATAAATTTTTTAATTTAACTTTTGATCCTAATTCAATTTTAGACCAAAAGTGGAATAGAGTGATAACCAAGCCACCTTATACAGTTTAATTAGAGATGAAAAAATTTTCGCTTCTTGTTAATATGAAAAATATATTGTAAGCAAATTTTTCAGCAAAAAACTAAAAATTTGTACATATTTTTGTGTATTTATGAAAATTTATTAATGAGTGATTAGTTGCTTTATATTATATACCCTAATATGCACTTATATTTCACTTATCAACGATTTGATTACCTTTTGAACACTTATTTACTGGGTAAAAAAATAGTATTTAGGTGATTTGTGTCTGCTGTGTATAGATGATTGAAGATTTTGATTTAAAAAAATATAATAATATTGTTTATTGGTTATTAATTATAGTTATATAAATGGTGGCTAATGTCATTAAAAAAATTTATCTCGATCCAATGAATAATTCATAAATGGCCACTTATGTGATTTATTATCTTTTTTAGTTATTGAAACTGTAGCAAACCGGATATCTATACCTTTTTACTAATTATACACTCTTATCGTTCTTCATTAGTGGAGATACTTTCTATTTTTATTATTCTCATGAATCTTATTACCTAACACCCTTCTATCCATCTATCTATCTCATATACGTTACACTTTCATTAATCAGAGATGCAGGCCCAGAACCCGATCCGGAGCGTTTTATAAAATGACATAATTTTAAAATAAAAACATGGCTTGTTTAGATATATAAAAAAAATATTAAACCTGGGCCGGGCCTAAAAATATTTTTTACTAAACCTGTGTCCGGCTTATTTAATTTTTTTTTTAAATTATCAAATAATCAGTTGAGATATCATAAGATGGATAGTTTAACCTTTATTTATTGCCTCATATTTTCAATTTTCCTTTGAAACAATTTATAAATGAAGCGAAATTTTTTTAAATGCAATAATTTTACCCGATTTGGGCTTAAAATTTAAAAATAACTCAGACTAAGCCCCAAATATTTTTCTAAAATCCAGGCCGAGACATTTCGGCCTATGCAGATCTCTCATATTTATATTTAATGTATTATTCCTCTTTTTTTAAGCTGGGGGTGGTTTTATATAATTTTGCTATATTCATTAATTGACAATCAATTGGTTATTTTAGTTATTTAATATAAATTATTTTTTGATTTGCTTACGAATTAGTGGACTACGTGACGGTAAGCAAATTGTACGGCCATTCATTCTTAAAAATTTATTTATTAAATTCATCCTAAACATTTGTTAAATATTCAAAATTAAATGATATATTGAACTTTTTAAGATTATACTAAATCTGTTTTTAATTAAGATCTAAGTTTATTTATTATTTGTGATTTTAAATGTATCGCACCTGGCATCTGTCTAGAGCCTGTAAAAAAAGGTCATTTTGTACAAGTCCTTTTGGCTACTCTTATTCTTATTAGACTTCGCGAATGGTTATAAATATCCATGTACACGCCCCAACGATAATGTTATTAGATCACCTAACTTGGCCAACTCTAAAATAAGGTTTAAAAAAACTTAACCAAATTTATTTTAGCATTTTTACCTACACATTTAAAAGCTAGCTTAACTAGTAAACAAAAAAATCAATTCAAAGTTTGCCCTATTCTACCAGATGTATGAGTTTTATATTACTAGATTAACTATTATTTTTTAATTTTATCATTTCTTGTCGTGAGTGAGAACTTGGGGCATGTCAAATCAATATACAAAGATTTTGTCTTTCTATTCAAACATGACTGCTTTTTTTAGCAAAAATAATAAAAACAAAGTTAAATTTAACACTTTAAAGTATGTAAACATTATTTAATTTATTTAATAATTATGCCAAATTATATTATTAAATAAAATAAACATATATATTTTAAAAAAAACTATATAAATAAATAGTCTACAAAATGCAATAAATTTGACAAATTTAACATATAATAAAACATGCATAAGAAATAGTAAATTTAATTGAAACAAAATCAAAAGGAGAATGAGTTAATAATGCAATGGAAATTTGATTCAATGACCTGGGGCTAGATTGCAAGTCTTTGACGAAGATAAAATCCTTATTTTGTATCCTCTGCTTTGATTTAAATTAGGTCTTGAGATTGAGAACAAAAAGTTTAAGAGTAACAAAAAGTAGTAAAAGTAGTCTTGATGACTGATATTAAATAATATTGATCAGATGTGTCCGTGTAATTATCATATTTCAATTTTTCTGTAGCTACTAAATATATGTTAAGGTTTGATGGAGCTAGAGATAAAGGGTCGATGTAGGAAAAACCCCAAACTAGGATCTTGCCATCTTCCTAAGATAATCTCCGGTCTTTTATTGTCTGTAAAGAAAATGAACTCCGTCGTTGAGGGAATCCCAGCTGAATTATCGAGGAACTTGCCCACTATTTCTGATGCATAGAAGCTAATGTCTTCCAAAATCTGCTGCTTGTGATATTTAAATGAATAACAAAAGTAAAACTAAATTCTTGGTCATTCAGCATTAGGCTTAGGTTAAAAATTATGGCCTGAACCGATCAAAGCACTAAAAGAGGTATGGTCGCCAGATTGCAAGTTGATGCAAAGATAATCAGCGGAACCTGCAATCATGGTAGCATTCCAATTTTTCTGCTTGGTTGAAGTGGAAAGAGGAGTGTCAGGTGCATTGTTACACCAAAAGGAGAAAGCCTAGTAAATAGTCTGCTGAAAACGAACGAGAGCAAGGATAGCAGTACTCGCAAGCCTAGAAGAGATAAATCTGCAAATCGATTAGAAACCTTCCGATTCCTCCATTGAATGGAGTGGCTTAGGGAAACGAAGATTGGCAATTTTTTCCATTATTTTATTTTTAACTCGTAGGTTTTAAGTTTTCAGGTAAATTTGAAGATAGCAGTGGATCTTAAGGCTTAAAGAATTTTAGGAAAGTTGAAACGTTTTTTATTAGGAAATACACCTTGTGAGAAAAAAAGGACATAAAAGTTTCTCAAATTTTTGAAGCTAGTTAAGGTTTTTAAAAATAATAATCGTTCCTGTACCACATAGAAGATCCGAGGTGGGAGATTATATCTTGCAAGATGTTCTTATAACTATAATTATTTTCAAAGCCCGATTCTAATGGCCAGAATTTGGTTTTGTTTATATTCAACCCAAGACCAATAGAGACTCCTACATTTCTATCATGCAGCAGACCTTATCAATCTTCACAGGTGAATCATTTACTATACCGTCATCGATTTCGATATATTAAACATGAAAATCGAGCTTGCAGTTGCTTTTAATTTTTTCAATAATACAATTAAAACTTAAACAAAATAATACCTAGAAGGTTCCCTTGTTGAATACCTTCAGCAGTGAGATAGGTTGGTCCCCAAATTTAAGAAGGGAAGGATCTTGATAACAGCTATTTATGTAGTTATCATAGTTTGGAAAATGCTTAATGAATTCTGTGTGGAAGTGTTTCCTAATAAATGAGAATTCAAATATATTAAATAAAGATTAGAAATTTATAATATTCAAATAATCATTGTCACAAAATATTTAAAAGGATTAGCAATAAATAAATCAAATAATTTTATATTAAAATTGATCTCAATAATAGATATTACCCTTCTGCGTTATTATCTGGTCAGTTTTTTAATTCTTCAAATTGCATATTGTGCTTCATTTATCTTATAACTGGAAATTAGTCTAACTCAATTATATCAAACTTTTTTTTAGAAAAGCATATTTATTCATAAGTTTTGTTATGTAATATATACTAGTTTAGATTAAGAGAATAAGTTTATAAAAATTTTTATTTCCGAATAATGTTATTGCGAATATGAAGCTGAAAAGAATTATTTATCTTTTTATTATGGATTAAATATATTATAATCTATAATGATTTTAAACTATTTCTGTTAACATTTATTATAAATCGCATTATTCGGTTTATAATAATTTAAGCACTTATTTTTATTCATCAATAAATAGTTATATAGTATATAGAAAATAATTAAAAATATACATTATATAAAACTTATAGTTACGTTACTATAATATACATTAAAATATATGTGATATGAATATTAATAAATATACATGAAAATCTTGAAAGTGAAAATCACTTAAATAAATTATACTAAATTTTTTTTAAAAAAAACATCAATTGTTCAAAAAGTTTTATTAATTATATGCAGCGTTTAGATGAAATGGATATGGACATAAACCATTTAATTTGTTAAGATTTAACAATAACAAACAATCTATACTGAATTTAATTAATTTTGAATTATCCAAA